TGTCAGTCACTGTTGACTGACGATATACAATTTAAAAAATTATATTCTTCTATTAATAAATTTTAAATAATTTAGAGATCATAAAAGAATGTACTTAAATATGACTTGTTACCAAAAAAAAAATTTTAATGAGTATTATTAAAACACATGCAGTCTTATCGCAACCTTACACAGTCCTCCGGCCGCCAGCATATCGGTGAAATCGGATATCGCGGGCTAAACGGAAAGGAAGACAAAACAGGCTTGGCGCTTAACGTGTTAAGATACTAGAGAATTTTTTTTTTTTGTTTCATCAGTTATGGCACATATTAATAAATAAGCTGAATATTTGAGCATTTATGTATTTACACATCTGTAGGAAACATGAAGGATAGAATAGCACGAGAGTTTTGCACGTTGCGTGTTGCATGCGTTATAATTCGATCCAGTTGCTGCTCTTCGTTCGAAATAAGAATAACCTCGTTTCGCGCATGGGACGTGCCTAAGGCAGGGCTAGAACCACTAGAGCAGATCCGCTTAACTTCTTGCTCACGAGAAAATTTCCCCTCCCGAGGTTCCCCCACTATGCGGTACGAACACGCAGAATGTGTAACATAAACCAACGGCAGTCGCTGGAGTTGCGGTGGGAGGACTCCTCGCGTCCTCCCCCCGCCGCGCCGCAACTCGAGTGGGGGAACCTCGGGAGGGGAAATTTGCTCGTGAGCAAGAAGTTAAGCGTCTCTGCACTAGAGCGTCCAAACCCCCACTTAACCGCCTCCGTTTTTCTCCGTCTTACCCTCTGCCTACGCTCTCTGTCTATGCGCAGAGCGGACGAGAATCGGTCCGAGAGCGAGGTTATTCTTATTTTGAACGAATAGTATAGCATGTGTGCGATGTTACGACGGCACGTGTGTTTGAAAGAAGAGAAGGCTCCAAAGAAAGAATGCTCTATATTTATTTTGTCGTACGGAAATGTTACAACATATCGTGGGTTTACTAGTAAAATACACCAAGTAAATATGTATGGTTTTCCTTAACCGTTTGAGTGGCAAGGAACGCGGTCGCGTTTCTCGTATTCGACATCGAAAAGTGTCAGCGCATCGGGCCACGAAGTGTAAATTTTATACTATTTCTTATAATCTGTCTATTTTTTTTATAAAAACTTCAACAAAAATCCTGCGCATAATCAATTTTACCTTTGTTTCGTGTTATTTCTAAACAGTCGTATTCAGTGAAAATGTCAAAAGGAAATTTTTGGAAGTTTTCGACATCAAATGAAAGAAGCGCGATCGCGCAGCTCGTTATTTTTCAGTCAGATTTCTGCAATAACCCGTGGCACTCGAACGGTTAATGTATTTGACATGGCATAGATCTAGAATAAGCGACTTAATTTAATGCAAAAATCTTTCATTTCTTATGTTATGTTTTAACGTGTATTATCAGTATGTAAAGGGGTAATTTTATGGTTTTTCACCATAAAGTAAAACCGGGCATTTTATGACTTGTTAGTGTATTTCACCAGTATACCCACGATATAACATGCTGCGTGTGACAGCGTGAACTTCTATCTGGACGTTTGACACATTATGTAAGTATAACAAGTGGCGTGCAAAATGCTCATGTGTTATCGTAAAAAAAAAAAATTAATCTCTTCCAATTAAAATTCTTAATGTAACTGCTCAAATGATTGTTCGTTTAAAATTTGCCGAAGATATTTTCATTTGCGAAATCATTTACAGATAAAATTAATGGAATTTATTAATATAACGGTTTGATTATGGTATCAACAATTCGAACCGATAAACACTCCAAATGCTTGCAGATATGTACGTGTTAATATTTTTTATGAATTACCTCCGTCGTCATATAGCCACCAGACATCGATCGTGCCGTTTTTGTGTTTCCTTTGGAAGATCGCTAAGCGTTCAGGGACAGCTGTCATAGTATGTCGTTTCTCTCTAGAAAATTAACGCTATGTACAATTTTATCCTGTTATTCTTTGGCCAAAACATAAAATTGCCTCTATCTTTGAATACAGTATGGACTTTTTATACTCATTAGTTTGGAGCATTTTCTGCTCAGTTTACCGAGTACTGTATGCCCTTAACGTTTATGTCAATAACCGGGTACCCGGATACCCTTTTGCATAATTCTCACTTAAAATATTTTATTATTCAGGTAATAGGTTGAAATATCCGGCCAGATCGCTGTTATTTCGCACATTTCCTATCCGTGTTTGCCTCAAGTTTAGAATTTTGTTCTCAGAAAACTACGAAAATTGGACGATAAAGTAGACGACAATTGTGGTTATTGACATAAGGGTTAAAATGGGTAACATCTTGTATACATCCAATATTCCATGCAGTGCTAAATAATCAGGAAATGTAAACGAAGTTTGTTAGCAATGTGTTCTGTGACTACAATTCCTGCATGGTTATTGGAAAGGGTGAAAAATATTACGAGAAGCGATGGTAAAATGCATCATCTACAGCAGGGATTCCCAAAGTGTGGCCTGCAAATCCTAGAAATGCGGCACGCGATGTCAGATCAGCCGCGATCTTGAATTTACAGAGATAATTTACATTTTTACAAAAAAAATAAATAAATTTTATCATATAATTAAAAATTTCTTCGTTACAAAAATACAAAATTTTATATGTAATATATCTTGTGTATATTTTATTGTCTTAACGGCCAATGGCCGTAATTGAATTTACAATTTGGCCCACCTAGGCAAAACTTTGGGAACCCCTGATCTACAGGGTGTCTCTGCAATCGTGGTATAACCGGGAAAGGAGCGAATCCTCGTGGAAAAATAAGTCGAAAGAGTAGAATCAAGTTTTTGCATATAAGGCTTCATTTTCGAGAAAAAGAACTTTGAGAATCCGTGAAGTAGGTACGCGTATACTAACTATAAGTTTCGACTTGACAGACTTCGGTTTCTGTTCGTGTGTGTATTTATAAATTTGGGCGTTGTCATGATTTGCTTCCTGTCATTGTCGCTACATACTTAATTTCAAAAAGAAATAACACCTTTAAGGAATTTTAATACTTACATTAGTTTATCTATCGCATATTTTCTTTTCTGTTTCAAGTGGTCTCGAGCGCTTTCATGAGTAGGCGAATCCCTGATTATTTGTGGTCCATCTATAGGAACGAATTGAGTTCCTAGACATACGTATCATTAACAAATTTTAACTGCTAGTGTATCCGTACAGAAAAGTTATTCAATCCTTCAAATTTTATCCGAATCATCTTATAACTACACTCTGTCCAATTTAAGAGTAACCTCGCTTCGCGCATGGGACGTGCCTAAGGCAGGGCTAGAACGTGCAAACCCCCACTTAACCGCCTACGTTTTTCTCCGTCTTACCCTCTGCTACGCTCTCTGTCTAACTGCGGGAACTGCGCAGAACGGACGAAAATCGGTCCGAGAGCGAGGTTACTCTTAAATTGGACAGAGTATACAAACGTTTGATATTCTTCTATTTTATCATTTATCAAACCAGTACTTTGATTTTTCGTCCAAATACTTCTGTCTTTAATAGAATTTTTATGTCGTATCGAATTTTTGTTTCGTGCATACGATAAAGCTAAAATAAGATGGTACTGTGTTTCATGCCGCAGTGTTTCGCCACACAGAGTGAGTTACGAGGAACAGAACACCTAAATATCGCTGTTAGAATTGAAGATAGAAAAACTGTCCAAGGGGGCAAATATGATAATGCAAACGTGTCTTCTGATTGACGTTGTCTTCAAGGTTCTTTTTACGTCATCGATGTTTTTTTTGAATGGCATCATATATTTTTGACTTTATAGCATATACATCGTTCAGAATGAGAGTAACCTCGCTCTCGGACCGATTCTTGTCCGTTCTGCGGATAGACAGAGAGCGTAGCAGAGGGTAAGACGGAGAAAAACGTAGGCGGTTAAGTGGGGGTTTGGACGTTCTAGTGGTTCTAGTATACATCGTTCAGAATGAGAGTAACCTCGCTCTCGGACCGATTCTCGTCCGTTCTGCGGTTAGACAGAGAGCGTAGCAGAGGGTAAGACGGAGAAAAACGTAGGCGGTTAAGTGGGGGTTTGGACGTTCTAGTGGTTCTAACCCTGCCTTAGGCACGTCCCATGAGCAAAACGAGGTTACTCTTATTTTGAACGATGTATAGTAGCTGATATCAAGACAAATTCAACGATATAGGATATTCTGACTTTGAAATGACCAACGAAAACATTGACGTGTAAAATTTGGTTTATAAAGCTATTAGGTTTCATTCATAGCAATAAATCCTCATGTTAGCAGTAGCCAGCTCGCTCGAGAAAGTGACGTTAGCCAATCAGGTATTATGCGACTACATTCGCATAATTTCCAACCTTATCAAATATCACTCCATAAAGAGCTTCATGGGAGAGATTAAGAAAATCGCGTGAATTTCTGTGAGTAGAGTATGCAGTAGCAGTAGTTTAATATGTTTTAGTTTTTACTAAAATTGCAATTTAAACGGCAAATTGTAACTACTTTTTACCCATGAGAAGTATACTCGTCATAACACAAAATATTGCCATTTCTTCGTGACGAGTATACTCGTCAAAAACAGCTAACTGGTTAAAAAACTTTGAATCACATTGTATTATCACATTTGCCCCCTTGAACAGTCCAACTTTTTGTTTTGACATTTCTTCCTATCTTCACTTCTAACAGTGAAATTTAGGTGTTCCGTTTCTCGTGACTCACCCTGTATATATTTAAACATAAATAAAACTCTAAATACCCATAGTTGGCACACTCTGAACTCTTGGAATCTGACTGGACATAGACAAATTGCTGTCCACGTGCATCAAAGTGCTTCCTGTTAAATCGTAGCTACTCTGTGCTAGAGCGCCGTGTTCTTCATCGCCGTTCGCAGTTGCAACTTCGGAACAATCCAAACCTTCTGCAATACGTAACATTGCTACCGCTAGTTTTTGATCAAACGCGTTACTGTAAACAGGACAATTATATTTATCATACTGCATAATACTTAATGTAAAAAGGGTATATGTGTGCGTAATTTATTTACAAACTAATCCTTTTAATTGTCGTCTAATTTTTTTAATCGTCAAAAAAGTTTCTGCGGAACAGAAAAGCGACAATATTGTATACAGGGTGGGTAAGACAAAACGGAACCAATCTTGAAATTGAAATTTCTCGTAATTCATTGGAGTCAGAGAATAAAGAAAGAAAATAAAACAGTTTATTAAAATTCAATTTACATTCCCTGTTGTGAAACTTGTCACATGGCTGTGATAGGTATAACCAGAGATGGGCGGCACTGGGCGCGGCTCCCTGGTGCCGCAGTGCCTGTGGGCGGAGTTTCGGGGAGGGGATGGCACACCTCCCCCGGGTCGGGGCGCACGCCCAGGCGCGGTGGGGCTTCGGTAGTGTTCGCTACGCGAGAGCCCGGAGTCCCACCGACACGCCTGACGAGGGTCGCCGTGGGCGTTTTAGTCGGTAAGAGTCCGACACTACCCCGCCCCTTCCCCAGGGGGCGGGATGACCATGAGGACTTCCCCCACGTAAAAAAAAAAAAGTATAAATCAATCTTGAATGAAATTTTATTTCTTTATCGCAACGCTCAAGCGCTCTTTTTAATTTTTTTCTCCATTTCAAGGTTGCTCTAGAAATCGTAGCCTAAAGATGTTCTTTCCATGCTGTAGAAACCCGCTCTTTCAAATAATTTAATCGCTTTACTCACTAGCACGACAAAATCAAAACTATGTAAACTTTATTTCTCGAAACGTCGCAACGTCTTGTCTGATTTTCGTTTTCTAATTTAGATAACTTTCAGGACAAGTATTTTTAGCATAGAAACAGGGATAAACGATTTTCAAACTTTTGAAGCGTTCACTTTTTACGAGGACATTATTGCCGTGTTAAAAGTTTTACGGCAGCGAACGCAAATATCGATATACATACGTAGAGAGAATATAAATTGCATTTAGATCAGTTCTTTGTATTTTCCCCTCTGACTCCAATGGTCTACGAGAAGCTTCAATTTTAAGACAGATTCAGTTTTTTGTTTCACTCATTCTATGTACAATAGTGTACATACGTAACAAAACGGAGCGAAGAATTTAAATGGGAACACTTAAACATCTTCGTTGTTTATATTGGATGATTGCAAAAGTTCGTGCCCGATTTGAAAATAAAACGCAAGCGGTGTGTGCAAAGGCACGTTTCATTTGAAAATAAAATGAAATGAAATGGACAATTATCTGAAAATAAAACACAAGCGGTGTATCTTTCGATAGGAATGTAACATGACGTTAAAATAAACATCTGTGCCAAAGTGTGATAAGGTTCCCGCAACCTCTGAAAATCGGGCACGAATTTTTTCAATCATCCAGTATTTAAGGTAAAGCTAAACTGTTCGAAGATCCAAACATGATATTAGAAACAATATTCCTCCCGGTATCATCTTTTTCTTGAAATTTCATGGATGGCTTTTTGTAAATTGAATCGCATGTTAGTTACAAGGAAAGTATTTTTTCGAACAATTTCCTTTACTCTGAATAGTTTGTTAATATGTCCAAAACAACGGAAAAAAAAGTAAGATGTTCCTATTTAAATACCTCACCCTGAATACCAGAGTGGAAAAGTCTCGTTTATATTTACAACAAAAGTTTTGATAACAATTTTGCCGAACTTACTGAAGAACATTAAAATATTCTTGAAGATCCTTGTGGTTGCATGTCGACCAGTGCGTTTTGTAGCCCATTAGAACTACATTTGGTGCCAATTTTCCAACGCCTGTTGCTTGCATCAAGGCCGATGCGCCCCGTTCGAAACTCAAATCCTCCACCACATGATAGAACGACTTGATACGTTGTTGATTTAACCATGTATAACCATTTCTCAATCTCACTGATCGTAAACGGTAAGATAAACGAGTCTAAGAAAAGATAAATTATTATTCAACTTAAATCGTCAATATGTTCAAGTTGAATTAAACATAAATGGATTTTTATTGAAGTTAATTTGGTTAGTAACCAATATTTCCTCATAATTTACAATTAACACACGTACAACTTTCTTTTATCGTAGTAAACTTGAAAATATTTTTAAAAATATTTGACGCATTTTTTGCATAAAATAAAAATAGTATTTTTCAAACATTCAACTTTCACGCGGCAAACTTAAATGCAATTTCTTTCACACATATTAACCATTAACCCTTTGACTACTGTTGGCGCCTAAAGGCGCTTAGAAAACTTGCGCTTGTCATACTGTAGGCGCCTAAAGGCGCTTAAAAATATTGCTCTTATGCTACTGTAGGCGCCTATAGGCGCTTAACCAAGTTCGGTCCACTGACACGAGAGGCGCCCGGAAAATTTTATCGATCATAATTCCGGCAGATCTTATTTCAGTCAGGCGTAAGTGAATGCTAATTCAGAAAACATAACAGAAGAAGTGAGACACATTACGAATGCATGAAATGTGATGTAGGATTATGTATTTATCCATGTTTCGAATTGTACTACACTTTACTAGATTTTTAGATATATTGCGAAAAAAGCTTAATGTTAACACTTTACCGACCGGTAGCTTATTAATCGGCTTTTTGCCGCGAACGCTTACCGACCGGTAGCCTATTAATCGTTTTTTTACCGCGAACGCTTACCGACCGGTAGCCTATTAATCGGTCAAAATTTGATTTAATATTTCTATACGTATAAGAAAAAGCGCGTATATTCCCTAGATAGCCTCGAGCCTAAACAGAGCCGGTGTCAGAGATGTATCTGTGACCGAGTGAGAGGTCGGAAGTGCGTAGGATGTTCAACCGCTACCGGTCGGTAAAGTGTTAATGTTAAATTTTTAGTATGTACACAAAAAATTGAATGCAGAATACAAATAAATAAATAATATTGTTTCAATGTAGTGGAATTCAGTGTTTTGATTATTTGAATATACTTTCTCAGAAATGCAGGCCTAACGAAAAGTTTCACCATTCTCGGTGTCCGTCGCGACTGATTTCCTACCGTATGGTACGGCTGGTGCGTCTCAAAGTCTGCCGTAGTCAAAGGGTTAATATTAACTACCAATGATCATGGATACAAACTGTTATTTATCTAAAAATTGTCCAATTGACATGAACGTCAATATTACAGTCTTCTGGAGTTCAATATTTCGTGCAAGTATCAAGAGATAAAAAATTGTAAGAAAGATTAGGAAGGCTAGAAACGTAGAATTGTGCGAAAGATCAAAAGGTAAAAAAATAAATAAATTTGATTATTTATGCAAAATACAAACCGGATATATTTCGCCGGAAATTAGCAGCGAATGGTTTTTCGTGATGAGATTTGCCAGATGTAGTAACGCTGGCCTAGCGCCAGGAAGTCCGGTCAACGCCAATATTTGAGGAGCATAATTTTTCACGTGTTCGTCGATGGAATTCAATCTGCAAAATTGAACTTTATTGTACAGGCAGGATAAAGAGAGACCGAGTAATATCAATTTCAAATTAAGGTGTTATATTATATTACAGTGTTAAGTTAACGTTTTCCCTCTTTTATGAACACTGAAGCTAAAGATACGAATTAGAAAAAATTAATTTTTCAAGGATGAGTGCTGCTCAAAACTGTTAATTCGCTACTTGTTTTTGTACTCGTAATAAAATTTTATCCTACAATGTTCAATTTTTACGAAGCGTTCATCACCTTAAGAACTCGTTTTATTATAGAAAATGACAAACAACTTTTGCATATTTATCATTATATCTTAGCGAAACTTGTGTTAGTTAATTTGTAAATTTTGGCCTACCACACTTTGATAAAATTGTTTAACAAATATTTTATTGACATTGAATTAAATAAAAACTATTAAAATTCAAAGACCGTTCGACAAATTGTTTTTCAGTTGTGCAGTATTTGACGAAAAAATATGCTTTTTTATTCTAACAAAATAATACCCAGCAGTATGATTACAAGAAATTCGTAAAAGTTTGGAAAATGTGAAATTCTTACCGATAAACGATAGAGAGTGCAGTCTTGTAGGTCTGAGCTTGTGTGCTACTGCCCCAATTCACATCTGGTTTTCGATAGACCACTATCAGATATAACGCGAAGATGATAACAAATGTGACAAGCGATGTTACCCAATCAATGAGGAACATTATGGACACGCAGGTAATGAAGCCGAATAAAGACAACCAGGTATTGTAAAACTGTAAGAAAATGATTATTAAATTCGATGTTTAGTTCCGTGTCAATTATTTAAAACACACTCAAGAGTTTTAAATATAGTGAAAATATTATTTTTTCAATGTTCCTTTTTATCATGTCACTTACTCTAAAGGTAGGTCGCCATCCAAGTGGTCGGATAAATGCCGCGTGAAACGTGCAGAAATTAATTAACGCGTACGACGCCAGGTAGAAGTTTGAAATCAGAGGAGCTACCGCGTTCAAGTTTGCTAAAAGTTGAAAATTTGCCGTACAATCTGTTTGCTAGGGTTATTTCGATTAATGTTTAAAAATTAAAGCAAGTTGGAATTTTTGTAAAAAAATCATAGGTATCATTTTACAGTTTTGGTTAACCCTAGAGTGGTCTTCGGGTCTTTTTTGACCCGCCGCTTTCTTATTTTTTTAAGCAATTTTTGCTGTTATCAAGTTTACGTTCCTTAATATTATTTTAAACGTTTATTGTCTAGGTTCATATGTCGCGTTGGAAACAAAAATTGTTTCGCATAAGGTCCTAGGTCCTTTTTCACCCAAAAGTCTTAAGGGGATCTTCTAGTGTGACGGTTTCAAAAAATCGATTTTTATTTTTTTGCATATATCGAAGGTACAACTCTTTAAGAATGTACTCCTGAAGTTTTATAGTTGTATTCGATAAAATAACGAAGTTATAGCTCGTTTAGTGTGACACATCAAGGGAGAATCTAAATTGCACTGAAAACTTTAAACGCGTTTTTCTCGAAACCATGTTTTCTGAAATGGTTGCCACGATCTGGCAAAAACTACCGAACCAATCGAACT